ATGGAGTCTCACACTGTCCCCCAGGTAGAAGTGCAGTGGCACGATCTCACTGCAACCTCCGCCTCCGGGTTCAAGTGATCCTCCTGCCTTAACCTCACGAGTAGCTGGCATTACAGGCACTCTCCACCACACCCAGCTAATTTTTGTATTTTTACAGGTTTCGCTATGTTGGCCAGGCTGGTCTTGAACTCCTGATCTCAAGCAATCTCCCCACCTCAGTCTCTCAAAGTGCTGGGATTACAGAGCCAGCGGCCTGGCCAACGAGACAGGTTCTAAGGAAGCTCGCAGGGAAGGTGGGGCTGGGAAGGGAATTTGATGAGGAAGACAGAGCCCAGAAGGGCCTGTGGTGTGAGAGAATGTGGCAGCCTCTAGAGAGACCCAAGACGATGGGAAGCCAAGAAGAATCTTCTGGGAAAACAATCAATAAAGCCATATTTATTGATTTTCGAGACGCAGTCTCACTCTTGCGCAGGCTCGAGTGCAGTGTGGTAATCAGAGCTCACTGGAGCCTGGAACTCCTGGGCTCAAGCGATTCTCCCAACTCTGCTTCCCAAAGTGCCGTGGCTACAGGCCTGAGCCACCCTGCAGGACCAAAACCGTATTTATCAAATGAAAGCCACCTCCCAGAGTAGCCTGGATCTGGTTCCTCGCCCCAAAGATACCTCTGATGGGATCTAGAGGCTTCCAGTAGGTGAAAGAACTCCCAGGAGACACGCTGGAAAGATCTTTGTCTAAAGGCATGGTGGCACACGCCTGTAATCCTAGCACTTTGGGTGGCTGAGGCAGGACTGCTTGCGCCCAGTTCAAGACCAGCCTGGGCAACATGGTTACACCATGTCTCTACAGAAAACTTTTAAAACAAAATTAGCCAGGAATGGTGGTGCACGCCTGTGGTCCCAGCTACTCAAGAGGCTGAGGTGGGAGGGAGGATTGCTCGAGCCCTGGAGTTCGAGGCTGCAGTGAACCGTGTTCGGACCATAGCCTGGATGACAGGGTGAGACCCAGTCTCAAAAAATAGAAATACAAATTAAAAAAAAAAAAAAGTGGGAGAAAAAAAAAAGCTGGCTGCACCACCAGTCCTGGAATACGATAGGGCTACCACTGCTGTTGATGGTTACGAAGGTTCTGGGGCTGCCCCGCCCCTCAATGGGAGGGGCCTCCGAGCCACGCCCCTACCCAGATCCCTACAATCCTGGCTACCTGCAGGTTGCCCTGAGAGCCCAGTAATCAGGCAGTGGGGGCCAGAGGGGGCGAGAAACAGGGGGTTAGGACCGTCCCTCCCACGTTCCCCCAACTTTGTGCTATCAGTGCTCACTGAGCGTGAAGAGACCTTTGGTGAGGGAGTAGGGGGTCTCACGGAGCCTGGGAACAGGAAGAGGGGTCTGGGGTCCAGGGTTCAGAGTTCTCCAAGAGTCTTGGAATCACGCAGTGGGGGTGTCACTGTGTCACACTGCTTACATCACCCCTCTATGGCCACCCATGAGCGTTCGCTCACGGCGCTTGCAGGGCGCCAGGCCTAGGCAGCGAGCGGGGCGCTATGGTGGCTGGAGTCTGGGTCTAGGCTGCCCTCCTCCTAACCTCCCTTGGGTCCCCCCATCCCGCGGCCCCCTTCGGAGCGTGACTCACCGGGCGTGAAGAGCGCGATGGCCTTGAGGCAGCCGTACTCAGCCGAGTCGACCTGCAGGCGGCCCAGCTTGTCCACCTGCTCCTGGAAGGCCCGCACCTGGTCCATGAAGGCCACGGCGCGCTCGG